GTCCATCTGGCAGTTCGGAAAGTAAATGCAACGTTAGCATCCGTTTCAAGAGGGCTAGAATAGAAAAGCAGACTTGTACTGCTCAGGCTGTATAAAGCTCTGCTCAGACCATATTTGGAAAATTTGGAGCAGTTTCGGGCCCTGTATCTAAGGAAGGATGTGCTGGTGTTGGAGGGGATCCAGAAGAGGTTTACAAGAATGATCCCAGGGATGAAGGGCTTGTTATATGAGGAGTATTTGAGGACTCTGGATCTGTACTCAATGGAATTTAGAAGGATGAGGGGGGAATCTCATTGAAACTTACAGAATACTGAGAGGCCTGGATAGAACGGATGTGACGACCTTTGAGAACTGAAATGAGGAGGAATTTCTTCAGCTAGAGGGTGGTGAATCTATGAAACTCAATGCCACAGAAGGTTTTGGAGGCCAAGCAATTAAGAAAGTTTTAGCCATGGATGGATAGGTTCTTGATTAATAAGGGAATCAATGATGTCAGCAGGAGAATGGGGCTGAGAAATATATCAGCAGGCCCAATAGGCCAAATGGCTTAATTCTGCTTCTACATCTTATGGTCTATGGTCTTATGGTCTGAATGTACAAAGTCACTACAACTCATTCCATAGTTCTTAAGATAACATGCAATTTAGGTTAATTACAAATTTTTAATTTGTTTCAAATTAAGCTGGGAAATGTACCGCCAGTATATCTTATATCTACGTGTTGTTCCATTTGAGATAATGAAAATACATTACCTTTGAACTCTTGATTGCAATTGGATATTTTAGACCTAAAATACAAAAGAAATTCTCTAATCAAAATAGGGGAATAATTGACTACGTTGGATCATATTAATAATGCTGAATTTCACAAGTATGGTTACTATAATACATTATAAACCATAACTTATAAACAATAGTTGTGTATCAGAATCAAGTATTTTAACTAGAAATAGCTTTAGTACGTTTTGTGTTGCACGTTATACTGACTAAATTAAATATAAATAATTAAATTACATATAATTGTGAAACAAAACTTAAGACTACTTCAAATTTCAGTTTGGTCATAATAAGTTTGTCAAGATAAAAACAGTCATAGAATCATGTCATATTTTACTTCAAAGTCGCCATTGTCCCAGAGTATCAGAGTATCATAGGGCTGCTCTCTAATTAGACAGAGACGACTGGTGGTGGTTTAACCTGTGGGTCACCATGCCTCAAATGCGGGTGAAGCTGAGAAGACAGGAACTTACCGGTACCTTCAGTGTTGCAGGAACTGAACCCACACTTTTGGTGTCAGTCTGCATTGCAAACTAGCTGTCCAGCCAACTGAACTAACCAACTCCTTTTTCTGAAGACTATTCATCCTTTGGTTTTATTTTTATTTCGAGATATCCAGTACTTCTGGGTCAAATTTTGTACAGAACAGATATAGCTTAGTTCACGCTCCTTAAGTCATCATCAAACCCACTGTGAGAGAATTATTCCCAACTGGAATAGCTTGATTCTTCCAAGCCGAATTTCCACATTAGATATCCAGTAAGACTGGGATATTAAAGATACTTTGTGTGCAGTTTTATGCCTTCAATAGATTAAGTGTTCAAATTTGTTAGCAAATGCTAACATGAGTAATTTCATTCCATTATATAAAAGGACAGTACAATAACCCACTGTGACATGCATACATTTGTCAAAATATTCTATTATTTATGAAATTTAATATACTATTAATTTTCGCAATATGCGGCCAACCCTTGATTCAGAGCATGTTGCGGCTTAAAATTATTTATAAATGGTTCAACATTATAAATGTGGTGTTGGAATCATCAGGAAGCCACGAACTTCCAGGGTAAATTACTATTTACTAACTTTTGAGAAGATAATACAAATTTGTGAATTCTCCCATTTAGAAAGATAGCAGATGCACGATATCATGTCCTGCAAGTTCCCATGCCCATTTCTGAAGAAGGGTCCCGACCCAAAACGTCAACTTTCCTGCTCCTCTGATGCTGCCTGCCCTGCTGTGCTCCTCCAACTCCACAGTGTTATCCTGAATTCTGTATTGCCTCTATTTTAATAACTGTGCCTAAATTGTCTCAAACTTCAAAAAACTTAATTTGATCAATCACAAAACATCAAGAATTGAGTTGCCCTTACCATCTGTGGAGCCTTCAGGACTTTCCTTAGTTAGCTGAAAGTCAGTTGCTTCAAATTGTGTTTTAATAGTTCCACCCATTTCACAAAAATCTTTTCCATATGACAGGGCCACCTCTCTCCAATCTACAATTCCTGTGTTTGGAGAATCTAAAGCCAATAAACCCTACATTACACGAAGAAACAGAAAATATAATGCAAGAAAATGTGGTACAAAAAAGCATTACTTTCCTACTTTCATATCTCATCTTTAGCTTATTTATTTGACATCAAAATAGTTTGTTTCCCTTTAGAACATAGCAGTTTTTTGTTTGAGCCCATAACTTAAAAGTTAATATTTAATAAGTATATTATTTGAGAAACCTAGATCTGAAATTCAAGGAAAATAAATGCAAAGAAAGTCAAATACTTTGTGACTTAGCTTGATGTAGTTTTTGATAAACATTTCAGAAATTTGAGAAGTTAGTTTATTAAAAAGCATTTCTGCATTTTGTTTTGGTATCAAGTCAAGAGCACAAATTATCTGATACCCTTTTCATATATTTTGCTAAATGTATAATGTTAATATATACATTGATATATACATGACAATAAAAATGCTAAATGTCATTATGTGCATATTGCATTTACCTATAATTCTATATTAATGTGAAGGTAAGGTTGCCGTAGTCCTAGAGTACTATAGGAATACGCTCTCATTAGAGAGACAACTGATGTTGAATTTAAGCTGAGGGTCATTACGCTTCAGGTGAGGACAAGGTTGAGAATGTGGGATCTTAATGTTGACCTCAGCCAGGAATTCAACCGACTTTTCTGCTGTCAAGATAATTTTTAAAATTACAGTAAGGAACCACCTCCAAAATAGTGTTTTCTACTTTATTGTCTCAAATTCCTTTAAAGGAGCCTAAATTACAAAAAAAGCTTCCAAAACATGTTTGAAGTACCTTTCTTCCTTTAATAATCCAGTTGGAAAAGGCTGTTATATATCTGGGTATTACAGAAAATATATTGACTGTTTAATTGCCAGTTTGTGGCGACTTAACTCATGTGTCCCTTGGCAATAGCTGCGACATTATAATTCCCAGAGCACTCTGGCATAGGGAACACAATAAATAAGTCAGGCTTCTGATTCCTTATGTTTAAGTAGTGACCTTTCTGAATAGCTACATTTAGCCACTGGGAGAGAAACTGTCACCATAACGCCAAATGATTAAAAGAAAGCCTCTACAATCACTGTCTAATCGAATGTGGCAAATAGTCATTTGGGTGAATGGCTAGAATGTGCCTTTCACTCAAACCGCACACTGGCAAAACCTGACACTTTCAGAGATTCAAGAATTTTGAAAGGAGTTCTGAAAACATTTAGAAAACTTTACTCTACAATAGGGCTCTCGCTCCTGAATTTCCTTTGCAGCAATAAGTTTCAGGTCTCGGACGTTGTTCTGCAGTCCACGTTTGTACAATGCCTTTAGTCTTGAGATTTCTTCTTGTTCAACAGCAACAATAAGCTTTAGATAAAAAAAAATTTATAAATCAGGTATAGCATCTGAACCAAGAAAGCCTACAAATTGAACTACTAACTGACTCAAAAATTGAATTTAAAGTTAATTTTCTGCATTAAATTGAAGACAATATAAGATCATCTATAATAGTTCATTTTTGTATTTTCTACATAAACATTTTTATCAAATTTCAGAAAGTCAAAAACAGATGTTGATTACTCTGCGGATAAGAACAATTTCACTATCAATCCCAAAGCTCCTTTTTGCTCATTTTAATCTGTAATTTCTTGTTCTATTCCCAGTTTAATTTGCCACAATACTCAAAAAAGTTGACCTTGCTTGCAATGCCTACATACTATGACCAGATTTTTAAAAAATACACTTCTCTGTCTGAATGTCTCCCTTGTGGGGCAGAATTTTACACCCCTCGGTAGGTTTTAAGGCAAGGGACAGGTGGGCGAACTTATAAATACAGCATATGACCTGCCTTGGAGCTACATCCCATTTTACAGGGAGAGGAATAGAGGTCTTGTGTGAGCAACTTGCCCGATTAGTGGCCATGTGTGAATATCCTGCCCATGCCATTACTTTAACATGCAGTGGATAGATGCCCACACAGTGCGGCAGCTTTATTTTCAGGTGCCAAGCAACACAAGGAGTCTTTCCTTTTGTGGCCTCCTTTGCCAATTGGAAGCACTGCCCAAGCCCCCACCCCAGCAGGAGGTGTTCACACCTAACTCTGGGAGCAAGGGTGGGAATGTCCCACCATATGGAAAATTCTGCCCCTTGGTGACAAAACTATAGACACAATACCCTGAGGTCTGGTCTGACCAGATCACTGTTTTGTTTGATTATGATTTTTTGATTTGTATTCCACTGTTTTGGCACTGTAAATTTAATATTCAACAACCTTTATTTTGCATTGATTGGATGTTTCCATCATCAAGCGCGCTGAAAGTCCCAGATTTTTACAACTTCTTTTGCTACTTCCTGCATCATTCAGATGGCATGTATTGGTCATTTTCCTTCCAATGTGTATTGTCTTGCATTTGATCCTATTAAACTTCATCAAGTGTTTTTAAGTTAAACTTGCACCAAGTACTATTTTGGCATCACCGAAAAATTTAATGAAAATTTTCAATAGAATTGTTAGAACCAGTAGGGTCACCAGGTGATGGCTGGGCACAACCAGTCTGGCCCACTTCAAACTAATTCTTTGAACAAGTGTCTATTGTTTTCTATCCTTTAACCTATTTCTTAACGATGCTCAATATTTATCCTCAATCACCACATCAATGATCATAATTAATGGCACTTGTTGTAGAAATTTCCAGTTTTCTGGAAGTTTAGGTACAATGCGCATAGAGTTCATCACAGTCCACTTAGGATTTGACTAAGGACAAGTCAAGGAGGTTGAACAGGCAACTTTAACAGGGAGTGGAACATTCAATCTACATATTTATTGACTGTGCATTTAACTTGATACATGATGTATTGCATTGAAAGTTTCTCTACAACCTGCATTCAATGGACATTTCCATTACAAAAATAACAAGCTTACTTGCAATGTTTATTAAGCAGTAGATGGAATGCTTATAGGTATTTCCAAAGTTACTGGTGTTACCACTTGCCTCTCTCATAATGAATCAGGTCCACTGTCAGAGTAATTGTTATTTAATAGAGACACCATATGGTGAAAACTTAGCATAGCTCTGGTTGCTGACATCTCTGCTGAACAGTTTCTTCTACATAAACTCAATCCAATAAGCATATTGGTTTTTGTTTGTGCAAAGTAAATCAACAGGCAATTTAACATATATTTAGTTTTTGAGTGAGGCAAGATTGGAGGGCCTGCAAGAAATAGAGACTAATGGTGGACACAAATATTTAAAAAAAAGAGGTTTAAATAAATAGAAAGGACTTTAGAAGAATGGGCACAAAAAGAGATTCAAGGCATAATTTTCCACTCCTTGAGTCGCATTGTCAATGGCACGAAATATGGGAAAATACAGTGAAAATAAGAAAGGTCAGAATCTCAATGCAGAGAGAAAGTTTTGAATTTTCACCTCATGGTTTAAACAGAGTTCAGAATCTCATTTACTTTCATGTATTTGCATTACATGTTTCATTTCTATGAAGCTTCCAATTCTTTTCTCCTTCCCTGGGAAATTAGATGGCATCAGTTCATGACATGAATGTCCGGACAGTAAGCTGGCAACAGTAGCTTGTCGCTTGCTTCTCTAGGCTTTCATTCAACTCTGTTTCCATCACAATGTACAGTACATACTCAATAAACACCATCCTCCACCGCTCTTCATCTAGGCCATCAGTAAATCAACAGCCCCACTACATCACCATGTCTGCTCTTGACTCAACTCACACCACCTCAGCCCTTCACTCTACAGCAAGGGATAGCTGCAGCTTGCATGTTTCTGCTAGGTCACTTTGTGTGCAGGGACATACATGCATCTTATGTATCTACAAAGGATGCATCTTATGGCTCTTCACACCATTTCTTTGTGCTGAATCATTTCACACTATTTTAGAGGCTGTCAGCTTGTATTGCATTGTCTTACATTGCTTTTCAAGCACAGGGGAAGAAGCAGACAGATTGTCAAGGGAGTAGACACGTTGATGTAGAAGGGACCTACATTGCAATATCACATGCCAGCAGATTACTCAGCAAACACACTACATGTGCCTGAACCAAATGGCCACATTGCAAACTCAACAGGGACCAGTCCTTAGTTGGGTCACAGTGACTACAGTCAATGCGCTCATCTGATGCCAGCCCAGGTTTTGACTGTGTTCCATCAGGCACTTGGTCCTACCAGAGTCCAGGGATTCATTACCTTGTCATTCAGAGTTTCGATGACTGTCATGACAAGCTTATCAAGTGCAACTTTTTTCTCCCTTCAGTGTTGCTGGGTTAAAATCCTGGAACTCACTTCCCAATGCCATTATGGTCCACGTACATTAAGTGAACTACAGTGGTTCAAAGAGGCAGCTTACCAACACCTTCTCAAAGTAAACTAGAGATGGGCAATAAATGCTGGCCCAACCAGTGATGCCACAACCCAACAAGGAATAAAAACAAAATAAACCATTAATATTTTATTATAAATCTTGAATACGGATAAAGCTAAATCCCAGCAGGCTGTATGTATATCAACAGGTGTTGAAAAGGTAGGAGAGAAAGTCCACTGAATCCAAGTATGAAAAATAATGTTCCTTCAAAATATCCAAAATAAACAACTAATTGAATTTTCATAACTTTATTTCAGGCAAGTGTTGAATTTACATACAGTCAATACATTGGGATGAGTTCATAATGAAATTACAACCAACCCAACCCGAAACGTCAGTTTTCCTGCTCCACTGATGCTGCCTGGCCTGTGTTCCTCCAGCTCCACACTGTGTTATCCCAGAAACAGCAGGTTCTAATAGTAATGTATGACACTTTGAGTGCTTTGTTGACAGCTGAATAAAACAGACATTTTCTAGGGAATGGACTGTTTTAAATCCATCATTTATCTGGTATATCTATGCTCAATTGAAAGATGTTTGTCGAACCATATGAGTTTTTTTAAACACCCAGACTTTGAATCCTTTATGAGCATTCAATTCAGCACAGGACCAAATTAATTTTGGTCCTGTAAATTTGTGTTTATTAAAGATTATAAAGCTAGCAAGCTGAAAAATAGCACGTTCCTACAGCATATCAGATATTTGCACACAGTCTTTGATTTTCTGTCAACATGTAAATTATAACATCCCTGGTACCTAATATATATGTAGACAAATGAAAAAAATAGGATACATACTGCAGAGTTCTATAACTAAAAGATATCCTAATCCAGTAGCAGTGTGAAGCTGTTACAGAGTAATATGTATCCCGCTTTTCACAGGTAAAACTTAGGCAGACCATTTTCAAATCAAAATTAATTTATCTCATTTCATGATGTACTCATTTATGCCATACAACCAACAGTAAAGGAAACATAAAGCATTAGGAATACTCACTTTGCCGCATCTTTTATAAGGGATACCTTTCTCCTGACAATATGCATAGCTTAGTTCAGCACCTCGCACACAAAGTTTGGCCTTCAAAGACCCTGGAGTATAGTAAATTCCACTGTGAATAACCCCACTATTGTGTCCACTCTGATGGAAAGCTGAACAAGATATCAATTAATTATTGTGGCAGAAAACCAAAGGCTAGAGTTATCTAACTAGTGCATTGTTTTGTATTACAAGGGCAACAACATTTGATTCTGCTCTTTGCATTAGCATTTTAAACTGACACTAAGGTACTGTTGACCCCATTAGCTGGTATTGTGTACTTCTCACATGGAGTGGTTTCCTCATCGTCAATATTTACTAAACTATCTCCAAACACTGGAAAGGCAAATCAGGGCAGAGCTTATACACTTAATGGTAAGGTCCTGGGGAGTGTTGCTGAACAAAGAGACCTTGAAGAGCAGGTTCATATTTCCTTGAAAGCGGAGTTGCAGGTAGATAGGATAGGGAAGAAGTAGTTTGGTATGCTTGCCTTTTCATTTTGGAAGGCCGAATTTGAATGCAGAACACAGGATTAATGGCAGGATTCTCGGCAGTGTGGAGGAACAGAGGGATCTTGGGGTCCACGTCCACGGATCCCTCAAAGTTGCTACCCAAGTTGATAGGGTTGTTAAGAAGGCGTATAGTATGTTGGCTTTCATTGGCAGGGGAGTTGAGTTTAAGAGCCGTGAGGTTATGTTGCAGCTCTATAAAACTCTGGTTAGACCACACTTGGAATATTGTGTTCAGTTCTGGTCACCTCATTATAGGAAAGATGTGGAAGCTTTAGAGAGGGTGAAGAGGAGATTTACCAGGATGCTGCCTGGACTGGAGGGCAGGTCTTATGATGAAAGGTTGAGGGAGGTAGGGCTTTTTTCATTGGAGCGAAGAAGGATGAGAGGTGACTCGATAGAGGCGTACAAGATGATGACAGATATAGATAGAGTGGAGAGTCAGAAACTTTTTCCCAGGGCGGAAATGACTATTACGAGGAGGCATAATTTTAAGGTAATTGGTGGAAGGTATAGGGGAGATGTCAGAGGTAGGTTCTTCACACAGAGTGGTGGGCGTGTGGAATGCGCTGCCAGCTGTGGTAGTGGAGTCAGATACTTTACAGACTTTTAAGTGACTCTTGGATAGGCACATGGAGGATAGTAAAATGTAGGGTTTGATCTTAGTAGGATAACAGGTCGGCACAACATCGTGGGCCAAAGGGCCTGTACTGTGGTGTACTGTTCTATGTTCTACATTCTTTATTGGTCACTGCATTGAGTATAGGAATCAGGGGGTCAGGTTGCGGCTGTACAGGACATTGGTTAGGCCACTTTTGGAATACTGCATGCAATTCTGGTCTCCCTGCTATAGGTTGAATATTGTGAAACTTGAAAGGGTTTAGAAAAGATTTACAAGGATGTTGCCAGGATTAGAGGGTTTGAGCTGAAGAGGAGAGATGGAGAGGCTGAATAGGCTGTGACTATTTTCCCTGGAGCATTGGAAGCTTAGGGAGGTTTATAAAATTATGAGGGGCATGGACAGGGTAAATAGACAAGGTCTTTCCCCTGGGGTGGGGGAGACCAAAACTAGAGGGCATAAGGTGAGAGGGGAAAGATTGAAAAGGGACCCAAGAGGCAACTCACACAGAGGGTGGTGCATGTATGGAATAAGCTGCCAAGGAAGTGGTGAAAACTGGCACAATTGCAACATTTAAAACACATCTGGATGGTTACATGAATAGAAATATGAATAGGTTAGGTGGACTGGCTATGTTAAATTGCCCGTAGTGTTCAGGGGTCTGTAGATTAGGTGGGTAATAGGGGGATGGGTCTGGGTGGGATGCTCCAAGGTCGGTGTGGACTTGTTGCGCCAAAGAGCCTGTTTCCACACTGTAGGGATTCTATTCTATTCTATGAAAGGGCTTAGGGGGATATGGGCCAAATGCTGGCAAATGGGATTAGATTTATGTAGGATATCTGGTTGGCATGGACGAGTTGGACCAAAGGATCTGTTTCTGTGCTATACATCTCTATAACGCTATGATTATGACTTAATTTCTGTGCTCTATCTGTGGAATGATTGGTCCAATTTCATGTCTCAGGTTGTCCACTTATCAATTGAATGACAAAGGTACATAGCGAATCAGTTGGCAATGGCATATTACCAGGATAGAGAAAGATCTGCAAGTGGCTTTAAAGATCATAGGGTTGAGAGTCAGCTTCATAAGAAGAATTAGGGAATTCCTAGTTTTTGGACAGGGGAGGGATAGGAAGAAGAGGAGGAATTGTTGTTGCTTTTACTGACCTACTTAATGTATAACATCAGTCTTTATCTCAGGACTGAGGCTTGACTGCACATGGTACACAAGTACATTGAGCCAAAGATGGCAATCACTTGAAACAGTATTGCATCTCTTCAATCAAGCCAACTATTTTAAAATGGCTTAAAGCAGAAATATATGGCACAGGACATGCTTAGAAGCTTGCATTTTGTCTAGTGTAGCCATGTTAATCCCAGAGTGTACCCAATTCCTTTTCCTTTTCCAGTAAGATGTAGCTCAATTTAGGATGCCGGTGTATAAGTTCTCTAGCAGACGCCAGTCCAACAATTCCGCCTCCAACAATGGCCACATCACAAGAACTAGAAAAGGGAAATTCAATCAATCATTAACAAATATTCAAATTTTTCAAGTACAAACCTGATTGAAACTCAAGCCTCTTCATGTAATATGTTACAAGAGGCTTGGCTTGATGAAAATTTTACAATGTATTTCACACTCCATTAAAAAACGTCCAGATATCAGCTGCTGTATGTACAACATTCTTGTTAAACCCCAATTTGTGAATTCTGATAAATGATCTCAATCCTTCAAATATGCAAGTAATTCAACCCCCAAAATTGATGGTTTAATCTAAGTTACACCTTTGACATAGAACCCAATTTACAAAACTAAAGCAGAATACTGCAAATGCTGGACAACTAAAATAAAAACAGTAAATCACTCTCGCAAAGTATATCTTACTCCAACCTGAAAAACAATAACAGTACCACCAGCAATGATCAGATGAAGTTTCCTATTCTTTTGCAGTCAACTACATATAACCGAGTTTAAAACAAATACATTAAAGATCAAAAAACGTTTGGGCACGGGTTTGTTTTGGACATGATATATATCATGTGCACATACCCTGCTCTTTTACCAAAGAGTGGCTGCTGCTGCCAAATGTCTCTCAAATAATTACAATGGTCCAGTCTCAGCAGATCTCAGTTGGTAGCACACTTGGCTCAGAGTCACACAATTCTAGATTCTGGTGCCACTCCAGGGCTTGAACACAAAAATCAAGGCTGACTCTTCAATGCAGGACAGAGAAAGTGCTACACTGGTATAGGGGCCATCTTTGGATGAGATGGTAATTCAAGGCTTCATAGGTCTGCTCAGGTGTATGTAAAAATAAAATCCCACAGCATAATTTTGAAGAACGAAGGAGATATCCTAGGTATCCTAGCCAATATTTATCCCTCAGTCAACATCACAAAAAGAGATTATTCAGTCATTATCATGTTGCTGTTCACTGTGCACAAATTGATTTCCACATTTCTTACATAACAATATTGAATGCACTTCAAAAATACTTAATTGGTATTAATGTATTACAAGATGTCTGGTGATCATGAAAAGTCTTAAATAAATGCAAATCATTTGGTTTTTCTTTCATACTAAAGACTTATTTTGTAATTACACTGTTAAAAACATGAATAAATTAAGCCCAGAATATGAGATATAATGGGGAAAAATAATCCTTTTCCTGATGGTGTATTGTTTGATTAACTAAATAAAAATCACCAGGACGTAAATAGCTTTTAATGCATTTTAACAATGGAAGTTGTCCTTTTTATGACATTCTTTTCTGGGGTGAGAGTATTACTGGGAGAGTATTACTACATTTGTAGCTTATCTCTGATGGCCCTGGAGAAGGTGGTAGTGAGCTGCCTTCTTGAAGTGCTACAGTTCATCTAGTGTAGCTTCACAGAGTGCAGTTGGGAAGAGTCCCAGGATTTTGACCCAGCAACAGTGAAGAAATAGCAATAATTGTTACAAATCAAGAAGGGATGTGGCTGAGAGGGGAACTTGTGAGTAGTGGTGTTCCATACGTTCACTGTCCTAAGTAGTAGAGACCTGAGATTTGGAAGATACTGCCTGGAGGAAAAGTAAGCTACTACTAGTTGTCACTGTGCTTTGGTGGTGGAGGGAGTGGATGAGGTGGCAATAAAGTGGCTGCTTTTTCCTGGACGATAATGAAACTTCTTGTGTGTTGTGCTGCATGTGGGTTAAAACTTCAATGTTCATTCTTCCTCGGGGAGGCAAAACATCCCGATGAACAACTGCCAAAACAGAACGAAGAACGGCGGATGCTGGAAAGCACAGAAACTGCTGAAGAAACTCATCACAGATGCTGTCATTGTTTCTCCAGCATTTTCTGTTTTTGTAACAATTGCCAAAATTGCGATCGCCATTAGTCAACCCCTCCGAAGCTTTAAGGTAAATCTAAATCAGTTCAGCCAGGTACATTACTCCACACGATCACAGGAATCAGGACAGTGCTCCCATTCTGTGCAATCTCCCTCCCTTCGCTATAACGATTCAGTCTTGACTCTCCGAGTTACCAAACAATAACCCGCCTCGATCGGAGCCCTGCTAACTACCCTGCTCACCTGTGCTTTCCTCGCACAAGGCAGTCCGCTGGGAACCCATTGAAAGTCCTGGCCAGCCGCGAAGCCGCACAAGCAAACAGCGCAGAAACCACCATCGCTGCGAAAGTCCAACCGGCCGCGACCTTTCACCCTCTGGCTCGAAGCGACAGGCGCGCATGCGGGGTGAACGATCGGAACACCGGCGGTCTGCACCTGCGCAGTGAGCTCGTCGGTCCGGCGGCTGCTCGCGCTTGCGCCCTGGTATCGGTGCGAGTGGTCGGCGTCAGGAGCAGGGCAGGTAGGGCCTTGCTGGTTTTTAATCCTGGGCTTATTGTGGCTTTCCCGCCGGGGACGAAAAAAAAAGAGGGAAACCAGCACGTAAAACTAACTTCAGATTTGCATGTTAGAGGTGACTGACAGCCCAGCTCCAATCTAATTGGGGGGCGGACTACGGATGCTGGAAATCAGAAACAAAACATAAATTGCTGGAAGAACTCAGCAGGTCAGTTCTGACGAAGAGTCACTGAACCCTAAACATTAATTCTGCTTTCTCTGCACAGATGCTGAGTTTTTCCAGCAATTTCCGTTTTTGTTCCGGTCTAATGACGGACTGTTTGTTCAGTGTTTTATTTGTTTTCAAATATAAGAAACGATGTGAGTCTGTCTTTGCTTTCTCCAACTCGCAGTGACATCACGTTTGTCATTACAGTATAAGCGATGGAAAGCATAAATAAATGTGGTATTCTAATCCGTCTTTTTTCTCATAACTTCAGAAAATCTATCAAGATGCTGTTTGCGAAGACAACGGCATCTTTCACGGCTCTGCGGTGTATACGTTCTCATGTTTGCCGCAGAAATTTTTGGGGATGGTTGAATGCTGTTTTCAACAAGTGAGTTCAAGGTAAACGATAACTTACCACTTCGAAATCGTTCACTAATATATCGTATGTAATGATGGTCCATTTCCTTTCAAATAGGGTGGATTATGATCGTATAAAGGCTGTTGGTCCAGACAGAGCTGCATCAGAGTGGTTACTTCGTTGTGGTGCTAGTGTGCGTTACAAAGGCTTTGATAAGTGGCAGAAAGATTACAATCACCTACCCACTGGCCCATTGGAGAAATTCAGAATTGAAGGAATTGATGCCACTGAATCATGCATTATGTTCAAAGGATTTGACTACCTGGGTACTGTATCTTTAGTAATAGTTCACTTCTATAATATTTTGGTAATGGTTTAAAACAACATTTCTCATGGCTTTTGTAAGAAAAGAATTAAATATAAGATACCAATAACATCTTACGACAGCACATAGTCACTTTTGTTATAAATTCATATAATCACAATTATAATGGAAACTCCACATAAACATGCATGATTCTAATTGCATCTAATAGTAGAGGTAGTGCAGCATATTATTGGCAGGAGGATTTAATTACAGTGTGACAAGTTTTACATAGTTTCCACTATAACTATGATATAGGTGTAGAACTACAATGGAATTTAGGACATTATGTTTAAATGTATACATTTAATACTAAATTATAATTGTTCAAACCAGCCCAATTTACTCCTGTCTGGTTTGGCTAAAAAGTGCACTTGGTTTTGAATCCCTGATGGTGACATGATGACACACTGATTAGTATTTAATTAAAAGGGGGAAACCAAAGGAATCAATTAACTTCTTCATTCTTTGTTTTGATTCTAATAATTTAAAAGAATAATGATATTTAAATATTTGACTACTGATGGTAGTTAACCATGAGCCAATGTAGGTTAGCAACCATAGAGATGGTAGTTGAACAGGTCTTGATGCATATAAGGACATAGTAGCAGATTTTTAGACAATTTTAAATTTAGAGGTTAGAGTGTGAAATTAGTCCAGCCTAGAAGTAACAGATGTTTGAACAATTAAGAGAATCAAATCAGTTAATGTTGATGAGGTATCGGTAAGCATCAGAAAACTGGGCAACTCCTTTTTAAAATGTACCATTTTCCTATTAGAAGCAACCAAAATATATTTCTAATGTTCTGCCTGAAAGGTTCCAGTTGAAAATTTACAGTTAAATGTAAAATCTATATGGCAAGAAAACTATGTTAACAATTCTGAATAAAATTCTCATTATTAGAATTTGCTTGTAGTATCTTGCAAGCCCTTGGAAAGTGTTTTTTTCCAAAACTACCAACTCACGTGCCAGGAGCTCAATTTGGAATACTTGCTTGGAGCATTATTGATTGAGTTTAAAATAGTTACCAGTTTCTTTGCAAAAGCTTTGGTTCTTTCTTGGCAGCTACAGTCATGTCAATTGCAACAAGCTACCTCCTCCCCACCCCCCACCACTTCCCTGCCTTTTCCCCACTTCATTCCCTTACTAATCAAATACCTTTCTATTTCAGCCCTCAATATACTTAACATCCCGACATCAACAGCCCGCTGCAAGGAAGAATTCCACAATGCACTATCCTCTGAGAGAAGAACTTCTTTCTAATCTGTCAAAAATGTGTGATTATGCTGTCTGGTCCTGGACTCCCACAAAGGGAAATAACCTTTTCACATCTATCCTGTCAAGTCTGTTAAGAATCTTATATGCCTCACTAAAGTTGTCTCTCATTCTTCTAAATTCCAATGAATGCAGGCCCACCCTACTCAACCTCTCCTCCAAACTTGGGATCAGTGTAGTGAACCTTCTCTGGACTGCCTCCAATGCCAGTATATTTTTCCTTCGATAAGGGGCTCAAAACTGTTCACAGTATTCCAACTGTCGTCTGATTAGTGCTTTGTATAGTTTTAGCAAAGTTCAAACTTTTTGCTCCTTCATTCCCATTTGAAATAAAGGCCAACATTCCAATTGCCTTTCCTATTATCCACTGAACTTGGATGTTAGCTTTTTTTTTTCCATGATGATTCTTAACTCCCTCTGTTCCATATATTTTTTTCAGTTTTTCTCCATTTAAATAATATTTAGCTTCAGTATTCTTCCTGCCAAAGTGAATATTCTCAACTTTTTCCCACATTGCATCTGCCAAGTTTTTACCCAGTCATTTACCCTGTCTATATCCCTCTGCAGACTCTTTATCTCATCTTCACCACTGGCTTTCCCAACTATTTCTTTGTCATCCACAAATTTGGCTAAAGTATTTTTACTTTCCTCATCCAAGTCTTTATTATATATTGTAAATAATTGTGGGTCCTGCACTGATCTCTTTGGCACACTTCAGGTTGCCATCCTGAAAATGTCCCACTTATCCCAACTCTGTCTTCTGTTAGTTAATCCTGTATTCATGCTAATATACTACCTCCAACACCATGTGTTCTTATTAAGGAGTCAAATGAGTGGTATATCACCAAATGACTTCTGAAGATCCAAATATATTACTTCCCCTTTATCTGTCCTGTTTGTTACTTCCTCTGAGAGTTCTACTGATACTTGGATTTTACATCCTGTATAGTAGATTTTTTTATTTTCCCAAGAATAGACATTAACCTAACTGGCCTATAGTTACATCTTTATTTTTTGTCTCTTTTCCATCATAAGTAAAGGTGTTACATTGGCAGTTTTCCAGTTGTCTGGGACTTTCCTAGAATTTAAAGAATCCTGGAAGATTAGTACCAGTGTGTACACTATTTCTTGTAACTACTTCCTTCAATATCCTAAGATGCATCCCATCAAGTTCCCTAACACTTTATCTCTAGTGATGGTTTTTTTTGTTTATTTCCTCTCTTCTTTTTGCCCTTTGAACATGTAGTAATTTTGTAACGCTATTAGTGTCTTCTACTGTAAAGACTAATGCACAGTATTTATTCAACTCGTCTGCCATTTCCTGATTCCATTATTATTTCCCCAGCCTCATTCTGTAAGAAGCCATGTTAACTCTGGCTTCTCTCTTGCTCTTGCTGTTCATCTTGATATTACTTGCAAGTTTACCCTCAGTTTATTTTCTCCCCTTTTTTTGGTCATCTTTTGTGAGTTTATGAAACTTGTTCAATCTCCTGGCTTAATAGGTGAACTGTTTGGCTACAAATACAATATCCTTGGCCATCAAGCCCTCAGGTGAAACTTGAACCTAGTGCTATTGACTGATAGGAAGGGATGATACTAATCGCACCACATCCTCTTTGAAATGTAGTGACTATCGCTTGTACTTATTCTCCTCCTTTGACCTATATCTGATCTAAAAACATCACCACTCTCCTCTGTGGTACCTCTTGCTACCTGCTTCTATTACTACCACTTTTTTGCAGAATTAATTTTAAGGTGGTGGACGTAATAAGTTCAGTGTTGTAGCTAGACCTGAAACTGTACATAAATCTTGGCTATCTATCCTAACCGCTTCCAGAATTCCTCAAAATGCAGAACACATTCAGTACTTCCAGTCAACATCCCTCCTCACTGCCGCTTCTCTTCCCACTCCCTATCTCCACCAATTCCTATTGTTCCCACATTTAACTCTTTTCAGTAACTCTGGTACAAATGCTGCTAATTTGTTAGTTACCCAAAATTAGCATAATTCTTCTACTTTATGCAATGCCTGAGACTTCCTGTTGCCTCAGGTTTCCTCTGGCTACAGCTTCCTGCTCCTGCTATTGGGACTGTTACCTCAAAGTACAAGACCTTGCAAGTCCCTGCCTCGAGTACTGTCAGAGGCCAGCAGTCACATTTAATATATTTAAACAAATAAGGAAAATTATGTTATTAGAAAAATTGCAAGTCTGATACTTAAAATCAAATGTGATGAAAATGGTTCTTAATATAAAGAAATATAAGATCTTTGGCAGATCAGTTAAAACTCTTTTGTAAGATTTCTCATTCGTGTGTTTCATTGTAGATGATCTGGAGTATGTTGAAGAAATTAAATTCCAAAGGTGTATGTACATTCAAGATGAGTGTCTTGAGAGATTAGGCGGGATAGAAAATTTGCAAAAGAGCCTGCAATGGCTGGAAATTATTTCCTGTGGAAACGTCACAGACCGGGGAATCATAACTCTTCACCACCTTAAGTATGTATTTTGGGAGAAACAAAATACTGTGACAAGGTGATACCATTGAAAAAGTCAAACATGTTTGCATCATGTCTTCATGACAAAACACTTTACTGTAGTTAGCCAACTAAAAATGTAATGAAGTTATAATAAGTTCTTTGCATGCAGCTAAATAATGAATCAACAGTACTAACGGTAAAAATTCTTTTGGTCAGCCAATGTAACAAATTGTACCTAATCCCAAATTCATTACTATATTTGAACTTTGAGTTCTATTTGCTGGAATTCTGGTTAAAATTAATGAAAATGCAACTAAATCTCAAGCTTCCTTCTACTCCCCAACACCTGCCCCACCCATCCGGATGAAATACTTAATACAACAGCATCGACTTTCATTTATATCTCCATTTATGCAGAGACACCCAAAGTACTTTGCAGGGTGTCAACAATAGAAAGGATGTCCAAGCCAAAAAAAAAATTGGAGGGATATAAAGAAGGAGAGAGAGCTTGGTCAGAGAAGTGGGATTTACATGGAGGGTTTTAAAGGAGAGAATAGAAAGTGGAGGACAAGAGTTGTCACCGGAGAGAATTCAAGATTGTGGAATCTAAAGGTATGCTTTTCAACTGTGAGGCAAAAGTATGCATAAAAGATCAATATCAGATGAACGGTGTGATAATGACCATTTGTAGTGCTGAGGTTAAAGACCTTGGAAAGGCCAAACCATAAAGGGATTAAAATACAGGAACTGAACATTTTTATTGAGGCTTTGGAAATGGAGTGAATATTTCTTGGCAAGGACTGGAATTGTAGATAATAAAGACTTTGCATAAGATAGGTAGCTGAAAATTATGAAATGAGAATGGCAGGCTGGATAGGAAAGCTGTTCTGAAGAACTCATACCAGACTCTCAACAATAACTCTTTCAGTCTCTCAAATGCTGCTAGATCTGTTAAGCTTTTCCAGCATCCTATTTGTTTCAGATTTTCAGCATATACATCATTTTGCCTTTATTATTGCAGTGCATAGTTTAAAATAACCAGTAATCAGTATGTTTTAATGTTTTTAATTTATTTATGAAATGTGAGCATTCTTAAAAGTTGATCACCACATTTTCACAGACAATGTCTTGAACCACTGCAGACTATGTGGTGTATGCCTGGGGTGCTGTAAGGCAGGGTGTTCCACAGTTTTGAACCAGCAATGATAGGAATGGTGATATATTTTGTCTGTAGTATTTTAGTAACCATATCCTTGTATATAGTGCTGGTATTACTAGTTACAGTACCAAATATCCTTTTACTAGCATATCTTTCCATTCGGACTTGACCGTTGGTTTATGTCATACGTGATGCTCCTTGCACTTTGGTTCAGGATCCTGAAGCTGGGAACGTGTTCAGGTCTTGATTGGGAGCAGCCTGGCTTGAATCACTTTGTCTTGATTGGCCAGTTAGTGACCTGTGTGTATACCTCCCTCGAATTTAAGGTGGGCAGGTTCTCGAAGCTGGAGGGTTAATTGGAGGCTGTTCACTAGGGAGGGAGCAGAAGTGGAGGGTAAAAGAGAAAGTAGGCACAAAACATAAAATAGTTCAACTGAAAAAGACCACAGCTCCTGGATCAGCATTCTGCCCCTCCACAAAGGGCTGTTGGGGGAATGGGAAGTGCACGATGGGCATCCTGACACACTGGCTTTGTCTTTGTAGCCATTCCCAAACAGCTGCCTTTTGAAATTACATAGCTGCCTTAGCCACAGCTTTTAGGCGAGTAACCATTTAAATCCCAATCCGGTTTTCCTAAAAATGACAGTGTTTCATGCTACCGATTTAAACCAGCACACTACCTGATGGAGTGAATTTGCATACACCTACTTCAGTTCCTGCCCCACATTAGGGTGAAATCGTGCCAGTGGTCTCATTTTTTTTTTTTTGCGCAACTTTGGCAGTTACTTAACTGTATTCATTGCTTTCATTGTGATATGGAAAATCCTGAAGATGGTACAAATCAAGCCATTCTGTATCCGTTTCGATGATTCAGTCAAAGGAAGAAATAACACTGGCTCTAATTAGTCAGTTATTTCAGACATTTGAGAAGATCCAGGTTTTGAAGTAACTTTGAAAATAGATGTCACAGCTCCCATAACATGGTCATATATGAACTGCACTTATTCCACCAGGTTGACAGAGTTGTTAATACTATTTGTTGAGTAATTGCTCTAATGTACATGCATTGCATGTAGGGTGCTACAAAGAGGTTGGTATGTATTCACAACAGCACCACCAGGCAAGCAGTTTAGCATTTAAGTTTCATTAGGTATAAAGGCCAATTGGCTCAATCTGGTGTTAATATTTATCCTTTTTACTTAGTCATTCTGATTATGTGTTAATCCTGCTTCCAATCTCTTGATTCCTTTTTTCTTCTACCATTTACCTATTCTTACAAATTGATATTGTTTTTCCTTCAGTCATTAAGTCTGCTTAGATATAATACATACACTGTGCAGTGAAAGTGCACAGATATTTTGGTGATGCATGTACGTTGATCCATGTAAATTGTGTGAAAATTGTACTGCAATCACACAATGTTCCAATGAGTGATATTCTGTTATATTATGAAATGCTTCTTAGAAGGTATTTTAATGCAGCATTTAATTTTGGAGCTGACAAAAATTAAGCTTTGATTTGAAGTAGTGAAATTTTGAATATCACTTTTTAATGTACAAAGTGTTAAATCTTGTTTTTCTCATCTTACTGCAGAAACCTAAGATATTTGTTTCTGAGTGATCTTCCTGGCATAGAAGAAAAAGAAAAAACTCTTCAGGTTTTAATAACAGCTCTACCTACCTGCGAGATTAAAGTTGATCTTTAGAACTACAACTTACAAATTTGTGTTGTCTATATACAATGCTACTTTGAAAATAACGACAAAAATGACATTATCTGCAAAAAGGGCTCATGCTTTTGCAGTATTTAAACATCAGAATGTGTTAGCCACAAATGTGCTCACTGAAGTTTTCCAAGGTGTTTTAATCTAATTTGTGAAACCGATTTGAGCCTTTAAATTGAAAATACTTCATCTATAGTAATTATCTATTTGTCAGCGCTATAAAATGTCCATGAATCAAGACGGTAAAAGTTGCAATAGTATTTAAAGTACATAATTTATAATTCTGAAAATATTCAAACATTAATGCTTTACATTTTAGTATAGGGAAAAAACCTTCCCCATTGGCCATTATTTCAAAATACCTTCATCTAAAATGTCTGTATAATTCAGGAGACTACGTTATTTTTCACTTTGTAGTTTCTGTATTTATTTGTATTTATAATAATCAACATTTTTGATGTAGAGCAGTGTACACATAGCTATAGATGAACTGGATGTGCAATTTATTCCAGTACTAACAGATTTGTGGCTAAGTATACAATATATAGATCGAGATTTTCAAATCAATGAAGATAAATATTGCAGATTTTATAATCTATTTGCAGTTTATAGTTTCAGCTGTTCACAAGTATACATCTATGACAATGATATCTCTAAGGGTATAAACCAATGATTTTACAAAAGCAGTGAACTTACAGTAGGCACACCTACAGTTTTTAGTTGTTTGATTCAAATATGCTAGATCAGCTTTTCAATGCTAATTCTCAGTTTGTGTATTTTTTAAATGAATGTTGTAACTGCTTATTTTATTCATATCAAAATTGTATCAAGCTAAGTCACTCCTGCATACAAATACATGGTAAGCAGAACACTGAATTTTGCATGTTAAGAACTGACATTTATTTGCAGTTTTGATCCAGTAATTGATAATTTTAAAATGAAATATTTATGTGCAGCCAAATTGAATTGTTTTAATTTAGGTTATCTGTTGGACTAAACAGCTGTTCTTGACTACATTGAGCACTGTACTAGAGTTGGAATCTAAATGGAGCAAGAATGTAAAGAAGTGAAAACTTTTCAGCAGTGTATTTTAAGGAGTTGGCTGAAATAGGTGGTTTTAGAACTCATCAGAAACGCAAACCACACTATTCCAAATAATTTCATGCAGGAGTCAGGTGAGGTCTGAAAGCATAACAATTTTTTAAAAAAATTCTGTTGAGTTTGCAGGTTGTGAATCCAATATTTCAATCCCTTAATACACTGCTTTAAGTCTAAAAAAAGTCAGTGATATGTTGTTAGATAAAGGCTAAAAAGAATCTTTGGCCTGGTGATCTCATAGCTGTAGGAGACTAATGTTGGCAGTATTCTTGACTCAGTCAACTTTTGGTAAGTGAAACATTGCACTTCTTAGGTAAGTTACGATACTAAATGCTAATGTGACTTGTGTTCTGTCCAGCAAATAGGCTTACAGTTTAAAACATTTTAGCATGTAGTAATGCATAAAATACAGTGCTGTTTCTTTGTACAGACATTGTACACATTTTAAAAAGAAACCTGTGACCAGATACCTTCTGGAACATGCTCATTTTCATTCATTTTAAACACACTAAAAGAAAAATAACAAACTTAAAGAAAGTGCATACAATCTCAGGCTGGGTAACATTATGATAAGTCTCCATTTTAAACGCCCACCAAAGTTTTAAAAACTTTAACATCTCTTTTGGACACTTGGTTTCCTCAGTTGGTGTCTTTTATAACTTGGTGTGTTCATGCCACTTGCTTAAATATTAGGTAGATGGTAATTATATTTCTGCTTGAAATACTTCTTGCTTTCCATGGATGGAGGTATATTGCTGCTGGTAAGTTGTGGTAAGTACTGCAACTATACAAAACAGTTTGGGGTGGGGGAGAGAGGAAAGAGTCAAGGGAACAATAAACAATAATTGGAATTGATCTAAAAACAGCAACTAACTTCTGGTGCATTTAGTTAACATTAGAACAGGTTTTATCAAACCAATTCTTGGGAAGGAGAAGTCGTAATTCATTCTTATTTTCTTTAGCAGTTTAATGCAGTATAATGTTTAACAATGATAGTAGGAACTGCAGATGCTGGAAAATCTGAGATAACAAGGTGTAGAGCTGGATGAACACAGCAGGCCAAGCAGCATCAT